AAACAAAGCAGAGTAGATTTAGAATTGCCCAAGTCTTAGTTAAATAAATAAATAAGTAAATAAATAAACAAAACAAGCTGGACATTTTTTACTTGTTAAGAAAAGAAGTATAAAATTTAAGGAAGAATCTCTTCCTGCAAATACCATGAAGCATCAGTTTTATATCACAAAGAGATCTGAAGGTTATTAAACACAACTTTGAAGAGGCTTGAAAGCCACAGAAATCCAAGGACCATAGGGCAGATATGTACACAGATATATAGGACATAGAACAAATTTGGAGGTTATTGTTCTAAATTGTGCATAATCTCTGAGCATACACAACTTCATCCAGGATCTGCTGGACAAACAAGATCATAGAATAAAACAGCAGACTCTTCTAGTCAGCAGAAAAAAGAACAACACAGAAGGATCATTTTCACATGTAGCTGGAACAACCTGCGCAGGAAATAAAGAGGTTGTGGGGCTGTTTCGTTTGTTTTGATGCCTGTTATTACATCCAGTACCAGATGTTTCAAAGCAAGGTGCAAAAAAACCTTTTAAATCATAGAAATCAGATTTCACTTACACCCTGCTCTACGAGGTTTAATATTTCACCCAAAACTAATTCAAATGTATTTTGGAGGCCTTAAACTTGACATTGTATTTTTTTCAATACAAACTAAGAAATGGTCCCTAAATATGAAATTGTAAGAGCTTTTTTTCTTGTTTCGTTTTTTGGCCAGACTGATTAAATGAGTGAGAAATGTCGTAATTATTCAGAAAAGCTGCAGGTTGGTTTTCATTGTGTTATTCCTTTCTTGTCTACATGGCAATCATATTATGGAAGCTATGCATGAAGCATATTTGTAGAAGTTACTTAAATACATGGGAAGTCAGGCGATTTTAACCTATAAATCAAAAATCTGCCCTGCTATTCCAAGCCTAATCAGATTCTCAGGATTTATAAGAATTTAAAGTATCCTGGTTTTCACTCGTTTGTGTTTCTTAAGAGGCTGGTTCTGAAGGGCACAGAAACATCTTTGTTCAGTCATAGAAGATGCTTGGGCTGCTGTTGGCAAGGGTAGCAATATAGCCAAGAGTGTCTAATGAACGTTAGTTTTAAAGGTAAAACCTGAACATGACCAGTGATCGTAGGAAGCTACTCCTTCCGAATTCCTTATTCCATACAATAACTGTGATGTCTGCTAATCTTGGTGCCTTCTGTTCTGTTACTTCTGACATCAAATGTATGAAGTCAAATGAAAAGCTTAATGAGTGACTACAGTCTCTGACTGTTTACAGACATTTCTTCCTGAAAATTAGTCTGAGCAATTGCTTAAAATGTTCACTGATGCTCCACAGCCTTCCTAAAACTGCTTCCACTGGTTCCTTCTTCAAACTGAACTTTGCAGGCCATGAATAACACGCAGCTTTATTTGAACCCAGACTTTGATTCATGCTTCATCACACCACAGTTTCTCCTGTTGATGGAACAGCTTGTACTGGATGTCATCTCCAGACAACTGGAAGAAGAGGAGGTTATCAGGAGTAGTCAGCACGGGTTCACAAGGGGGAGGTCGTGCTTGACCAACCTGGTAGCCTTCTATGATGTTGTCTCTGGCTGGGTGGATAGGGGGAGAGCAGTGGATGTAGTCTACCTTGATTTCAGCAAGGCATTTGATACTGTCCCCCACGACATCCTTATAACAAAGCTGAGGAAGTGTGGGATAGATGAGTGGACAGTGAGGTGGGTTGAGAACTGGCTGACTGGCAGAGCACAGAGGGTCGTCATTGGTGGTGCAGAGTCCGGTTGGAGGCCTGTAAGCAGCGGTGTTCCTCAGGGGTCTGTGCTGGGTCCGGTCTTGTTCAACATCTTCATCAATGACCTTGATGAGGGGATAATGGCCACCCTCAGCAAGTTTGCTGATGATACGAAGTTGGGAGGATTGGCTGACACGCCTGAAGGCTGTGTTGCCATTCAGCAAGACCTGGATAGGCTGGAGAGCTGGGCAGAAAAAAACCGGATGAGGTTTAACAAAAGCAAGTGTAGAGTCTTGCATCTGGGGAGGAATAATTCCATGCACCAGTACAGGTTGGGGGATGAGCTGCTGGAGGGGAGCTCTGCGGAAAGGGACCTGGGTGTCCTGGTGGACGACAGGTTGGCCATGAGCCAGCAGTGTGCCCTTGTGGCCAAAAAGGCCAATGGCTTACTGGGGTGCATTAAAAAGAGCGTGGCCAGCAGGTCAAAGGAGGTGATCCTCCCCCTCTACTCTGCCCTGGTAAGGCCTCATCTGGAGTACTGCGTCCAGTTCTGGGCTCCCCAGTACAAAAAAGACAGGGATCTCTTGGAAAGAGTCCAGCGGAGGGCCACGAAGATGGTGAAGGGCCTGGAGCATCTCCCCTATGAGGAAAGGCTGAGTGAACTGGGTCTGTTCAGCCTTGAGAAAAGGAGACTGAGAGGGGACCTGATCCAGGTCTATAAATATCTAAGGTGTGGGGGGCAGAATGGCGAGGCCGGACTCTTTTCAGTGGTGAGTGGAGACAGGACAAGGGGAAATGGCCAGAAACTGGAGCATAGGAAGTTCCGCACAAACATGCGCAAGAACTTCTTTACAGTGAGGTGACGGAGCACTGGAACAGGCTGCCCAGGGAGGTGGTGGAGTCTCCTTCTCTGGAGATGTTCAAGACCTGCCTGGATGCCGACCTGTGCGACCTGCTGTAGGGAACCTGCTTTGGCAGGGGGGTTGGACTCGATGATCTCTGGAGGTCCCTTCCAACCCCTACAGTTCTGTGATTCTGTGATTCTGTTGCATCTCCATAGTTAATTACTTTTGAGAACTTTCTCATCACAGCATGAAGCAAGCATGACTTTATCTGGTGACAGGATAATCTCATTACAGATGATGATCTTGTTAATGAATATCCCCAAGACAGAGCAATCTCATTATTAGCCCCCTCAGGATTTGCCACCTACGAGCCAATGTCTGATTAGATTCTAGCTGCACATCATTCCCCAGATCTAACTGTAAAATGGCCGAGGCTGAGGTGGCACCCCCAAATGCACATGACCCACTGAAGTGCTTAATTAGGAGGTTTTGCCTTCAGTTCTCCTGGACACGCTTCCCAGGTGAATAGTCATGATGGTTCAAGCACCGTGTGCAGCAGAGTTATCTCCCACTGCTCTGCAGAGCAAACACAACACAGGTGACATCAAGGACTGTCTTTCCCACAGAGATAATGGCTTCAGGACAGCACCAGAAAAAAAAACCTGTACTCCTTCTCCCCTCTCTACGTGGCATCCTACGCAATAGTTGCAGATCTGCTTGGTCAAGGCTTTCGTACCACTTGTGTCAGTTTCCCCGCATAATATACCTATGATGAACACTTAAAATAATTACTGTGGAAAACATCCAGCTAGTTTATTCTGAGACACGTACAACATTTAAATCAGTGCTTTAGAATATCGAGTCTTCCAAGGAAGTATCATTGCTGCTACTGTTTTTCATTTTTAGTATGTAGTGTTGTGTTTGTAAACAGAGCTTCACAGGCAAAAAGAAAGGTGGAATTTTTATCAAAATGTTCAAAGAGAAGGAAGAAAATGGCTACAAAAGTGAGAGAGATCAAGATGGTCATTTTCTAAATGATCGTATCACAGTGCAGGCAGCATTTTGCCTTGCTCCTGTAGCATTAACAAAAACTGTCCTACATGAGAGAGTGGTGATGCAGAAAAGCAATGCATTTTCTTAATTAATCTAGTGGAGAGCAGGAACCTGAGCACTAAACCCCATCCATTTGATTTCATTAAATGTACTATAAAGGTTAAGCTGCACTTTAGTATTGGCTCTAGACAACCTCAATGAGTAGAGTGAGGTCAAGAAGGTCTCATTCAAGGAGGTGCAGCTTAGTACATCACTATTTATCAGGAAAAGCTTGATAATCTGTTCTGCCTTTATGATAAATCTAGGCAGCGGGGTCACATCAAATAGTAAATGTAATATTTTATTACAACTTTAGTTTTCCAGAGATGCATGTTTAGAAGAGTTTACATCAGATTATTCAAAGCTAAATCTTAATTTAAAGCCCCAGGCAACACAGGTGTGATTGGAAACTCACATCTCAGTCTCTGATTACTGGGAAGCAGTAGCAGGGTCTATGCTAGAGCAGCAAGGGCAAGTTCAGGCATCAAGCAGAGCCTTAATTTGCCTGTAAAAGAGGGTTAGTGAGGGTGAAACTACATGGCAGATAGTTACATAGCATGGCAGAGACAAGCTTTGTGAGGCCTCTGACCATCTTCTGGCAGTTGTGGGAAGAGCCAAAGGGGAAATAAGAGGTTGAGATCACCACAGCATTTTCTTGAGATGCTTTACTGGCTCACAAAGGGGTCTCGTCTGCTTACAGTGCAGTTACAGAGCCTGTCTGTTCCCCAGCACGACCCCTACTGAAGCAAAAATCTATTGTGGTGTGTATGGGTTTAGAAAAAAGGAAAAGGGTTTTTGTTGTTCTTTTAGGTGAAAAATGCACCGTATGTCAAACTTGCCCCTAAGTATTTTTAACTTTGAAGTTACGGTCTTTCTTCACATGGGAAGGAATGAAAGGGCTGATCAGATTTCTTTCACAGGTCCCTTCCAATCAGTTATTCTACAGTTCTGTGAAGTTATGTGTAGGCTTTCATGCCTAAGTTTGCCTGACTGATTATTGCTGTGACTCCTGTGAACTGGGCCATCAAACAAAAGGTTGTGTAAAACTGTCCCTCAAGCTTCAGGGAGCAGTCAGTAGGATTTGGTTGCCATGTGTGCAGCCTGAGCTTGCAAGTTCCTTCAGGAAACCAGGATCTCATATGGCACAAAGGAAACATCTTTTAAGATGCGCAGGCTACAGCTTTGTATTACTGCAAGCTTCCAAAAGCACTGATATGAAGGCGATCTCGTAAGATGCAAATGGAATAATAGGAAATTAGGCTTTCTGTTGCATTGATGTTATGCATTAGGTGCCATGTATTTTGTGTTTTCTTTTCACAGCTTAATGTCTGGGCTAGCAGCCCTGGATGCCAAGACTTCCAGTCGATTGGGTATCATAACTGTCACTTATTACCTGTGGACAACATTTGTGGCTGTGATTGTGGGAATAATTATGGTCTCCATCATTCATCCTGGTGGGGCCGCACAGAAGGAGAGCACTGAGGAGGGTGGAAAGCCCATCATGAGCTCTGCAGATGCACTGCTGGACTTAATCCGGTAACTACATTCATTCTTCCTGGTTTCTGGAGACAATGTTTTGTACATAAATGCCTGAGGACGAGCTGTGGCCTGAGGACAAGGTCTTAAACCTTGAAGTCTTCACAGTTTTGCACAGACATCAACTATGACAGGACTATGAGCCGCTCACTCCCTTTTTGCTGTGCTAAAAACCATCCACAGCTGCACTCTCTTTCTACCCTGAGTCTATACTGATGGTTTTTATTCTTCCACTACAGAAATAACCACATTCACTAAATAAATAAATAATAACACAACTGTGGGGAGTGGGCTTTCAGCCTAGATAAACATTACGGGTGAAATCCTGGCTCTGCTGAAGTCAATTGCAAGACTCCTAAATATCTGTGTGGAAGTCTGGATTAAATGTAATGATGTATCTGCTGGTTTGAGCTGGAAAAGCTGATCCTTCAGCTCAGCGATAAATCACTTCCATTCACAGCTGGAGACCATCTTTTCAGGCCCAGATTGGCTTATCTTCTCAATTCATTCATTTCCTCTCAATGTATCAGTTGCACATGTGCACAGAAGTTTGCACAGGAAGCATCTGGTATTCTTCAAAAAAAAAAGAATGCTAAGTGTACAAGTGGAGAGCATGAATCTTGGCATGGTGATACACATATTCGCCCTCACTTATTTCAGATATGAAGCCACTTTGAAATGATGACATGTATTATTATTTCTTGTGATGTTATATATGACATTGTCAGGTTTGGAGTTTTTGGCAGAGAGGAAGGATGTTGCTGGAAACAGAGGAAGGATGTTGCTAGAAATTGAATTTCTGGAATTTTTGGGTGAGGATTCTGCTTTTAGGAATGGTTTTAATCAGAAATAAGGCAAAGAACTACTGCAGAGCCTCATCATCATTCTAAACACCTATAACATTAACCAATGTTCACATTTCTAGAGTACTGATGGTATATGGAGCAATCTGGTGATAGCATAATGTAGCATGTATACAGTATTATTTTGCAGGTGATGCTTCCCCCACGTATTTGTTATGTTAAAAAACAGTAACAAAACCTCCAGTGTATGTGACACAATGAGGACACTACCACATGATTCTGAAACGGCTCCAAACCTCACATCATCCAGGACATATGTAATCTGATTGACATATTGAATTTACTGCCTCAGAAAATGTACCCACAAGTCAGCCATTTTAAGTCTCAACAGAAGTATTTGAAAAGGTTCCATTCAAAAGTGAACTCCCAGAGATGGGGGATGTGATCTGTGGATGTGAATCTGCCCCTGCTGACATTCTCCTGAGTTCAGCTTAGACAGAAAGGCCACTGAATGCAGCATAATATACACAGTTTTAGCCTTTGCACTGAAAATCTTCAGTGCTGTTGTGGACTTAAGTATCTGAGTTATTGTTTTACTCTGATCTAGCTTTAAATCAAACCCATTTTCCGTCTCTGGAAGATACCCTTCAACCAGCTAGTTTGCTTTCATGCCTGTGCAGGAGTCTCCCGTTCCACAGCTTGCCCCTCTTCTTTGGCACTGTGCAAGGATCTAGGCTGAGCACAAAGAAATCAGATGGTCATTTTCAGTCTGAAGCTTTGCAGGAGGTGCAGTTCTAAAGAATTGTCTAAAAGAACTCCCTTCTAAAGTTCTCTCTCTAGTTCTCTCTAGCTGCCACTGTACTACTGAGCTGAGACAGATATACAAATCTGCCTTAATTATAGTCAAGATTTCTGGTACGAGCTCATGAAATCCTATTTTCATCCATATTTAAAAATACAAATCCTTAGGCTAAGGATCATCATCTTGTTCTCTTTAAAGCTTCAAAACACCTGGTGCCTTATGAATTTTAATGTATGTGATTGCTTCTGTGAGGTAGGGAAGAGGCATCTTCCTTTCCTACAGCTGGAGAACTGAGATATATGGGAAAAATACCTCACTGAGGATCGTTCAGAAAATAGAGTATTTCCCAGGGGAAATATTCCCAGCTTCTATGAGAGCTACCAGTGTCATGTTCTAGGAATGTGGTTTTTGGGGCATCTCAATGGAAATAATAGCAGTGAATCAACACAGACTTTTGCCTTTCTTTCTTCCATGTGAATTATTGAAATTAACTCTATACTTTTTTTCCAAATATAAGAAAAAGTGAATATTTAGTGGCCTTTTTTCAGTTAGGAAATGAAGGAGAAAGTGTTTAAAGGGACAGAAAAAGGGCTGCACTTACAAGAATAATGTCCAATTGAAAATATTTTGTGTGTTTTGTTCGAGAACTTACGTCCACCTTACAAATAGAAGAGAAAAATGCATAGAGCTTGGGGGCGAATGTTTGTAAAACAAGATCTGTTACACAGGACTGCACTATTTACAATGGCAGTTACTATTTCCACCACGCTCAGTTGTCATTCTCATATACCTTAAATTTATGTGGGTGAATTTCATTGCCACTTAAATCATGCTGTTTGCAGTTGTCATCAATGGAATCAAATTTTGGCTGATGAGATAAAGACAAATGATTAAACACTACAAACATCCACTTGTGGAAACAAATCCAAGCCAAACTGGAGGTTCACCTTCCTGTTTTATACACAGCTTACCATGTGTGCAAATGGGCACCACAAAACAATACTGTGAGCCAGTTGAGCTCAAAAGCTCCAAACAAAACAACTCAGTGAATACAGACAGGATCAAATCATGCCTTAACACGAGTTCATACACTATTTACTGGAAGGATAAATCAGAGCAGGTCTTACCACTGGTTATTCAGGACTGCATCCAGTTTAATAGACTTTGAAACAGATACCTGGAGACTGAGTTAGACTTGCTCACTTGAACTGAAAGTGGTTTTTCTTTGTTGTGATTTGTGCTGTTGGGTTGTGTAGTTGGTTTTTTTGTTGTTGTTTGTGTTGGTTTTTTTTAATATGCCATTAATAGTTAGAAGAGAATATAAGCAAAGTAGAGGATTTATATTTTCATGGGAATCCCAAGCACTGTTAAAATAATTTCCTTTCTCTCTTCTCAAGCCTATTTTATTTTGTATAGAAATTCCATGTCTTCAAAACAGGGCAGGAGAAGTTTGATATCTGCTGTAGTTAGAAAGAAGTCCAGGCTGCAAAACCAAGAATCACACTTAAAGAAGTTTACAGCAGAAGACTGAATTGTATATGCAGGCAGTAATTTAAGAGTGCCTTAAAAGACTCAGAGTTTAAACTATTAAATAACTTTTTTTTTAATAGCTTTGACCTACATTCCAGTATCTTTTACCAAAAGCCACTGTGTACCTATGGTAGAAATATTCGTCTGTCTCCTGTGGCAAACTAGCATTTTTTAATCATTTCAGTTTTCCAGATTTCTTTTATCTCACAGAAGAAGCCTGATGCCAGCACTGTTCACCACTGTGTGTGAGCAGATGTTCTCTTCTAGTTAGTTTTTAAGAAGTTCAAGCTGCTCAGAAGCCTGAAGTGCTCTGAAGTCCCTAAATGTATGGTACCTATTTGTCATAAACGGAAAGCAACATGGAAAAAAGATAATTCCATGATGAAAATGATGCTGGGAAGAGGGACTTTGAAGCAGACAACACATGGGAGCCATGAGTTAAAACTGCATTAGGAAAGTTTCAGCACCAAAAAGGAATAAATTACTCATCCTCCTGAAAATTGGCCCGGACATCTTCTGAAATGAAGGAACACTTTCTATTAGATAAATTTGCTTTCCTGAAACCACAGTGCAAATGCGCTGGGCCTGTCATGCTGCATTTTATATGACTTCACCTTTTCAAGATTCCTAAAGATGTGGTGTATTTGTGCTTTCACCCCAAAGAATGAGCTTTTCAGAAAATGGTAGCACTGTTAGAGCTGTGCAGAACTTTATTTTTCAGAAGAAGCAAGAGAAGGGGGTTCACCCTCCTGATCCCTTACTGGAACTGAAATGCCGTGCAGCGGCGTCACCTCAGGACGTGTAAAATGTCTAAGTGTTTGACAAACTGATTCCATATTAGTTCGGCCTTGATATGCAAAAAGACAAACACGACACAATGCCTGAGTTCTGATTAGTGATTTTTGCATTCCGCTAGCATCTTTTTATCATAATAATAGTACTTCAAGGCTTTTATTTTGCAAAGGCATGCTCAGTGCTTTTAGCCAAGGTAGTGAGATTGATACTAAGGACAGGCTTCCCAGCAAGGTGGTTGTTGGCACAGTGTGCAAGAGGCATTTGGATAATGCCCTTCATAACGTGCTTCAACTTTTGGTTAGCCGTGAAGCGGTCAGGCAGCTGGACTCAATGGTCTTTGTAGGCATTTTCCAACTGAACCATTCTATTTTCTTCCATTCCATCCAAATGAGATGATTATTTATGTGCAGTCTGCAACTTTCCATGGACCCTGAGATAGGTCTCTTGTTCAGACTTGCTGCAATAAATTTTGCCCTTGATTTTAGGTGTGCAAACCCTGATGAAGCCCACTGACACCAGCAGGAAGCTATTTCAGATGTATTCCTATACAACTGAGGACAGGATTTGTGGCTCATGTGGTACAGTAACAGTAGTCAGGAGTCTACACAGCTGATGGCGGAAGTCACACACAGGAGAGTAAACACAAAGGGATCTTTGAGGTTAAGGGAACGTCACTGAGAAAGAAGAGACACCTGACTTCAGATTATAGGAAAAACATAGGATACACAGGAACCACAGTGCTGTTCAGTCTTCTGCTATGAATACCGGAAACTTTGTAGTCCTCTCATCAGGCTACTCAGACTCCATTTTTAATGTCTCCATACCTTTGCTGTACTGAATACTACCAAAAACCCGCTCTTAAAACAATGTTCTTGCAGAGCTACATTAGTTCAAATGTGAGAAATACAGTACAGAGAGCAGTGTCCAAAGCTGCTTTATGCCCAACACAAATATAGGCCAGTAAAATATTACCAGGACACATATGTTGCAAAAGCACCCAGTCAGGTGGCTTTAATTCTGCAGCGTGGGAGACTGCAGCCAAAGACTGTCTGGTGTGGCAGGGATTAGGTACTGATAACATCAAAGTCTGAGAGCAAAACCAGATTGCTGCTGCAGAGCACAGAGTGCCCCAGAGGGAATGGGTGTTCTGAATCAAGGAAACATCTGCTGTACCTGTGGCTGCTGGCCTAACTTCTTTAAAAAGATCTGCAAAAACCGAGCGCTTTGAATCAACAGATGATGTGGTCAGGACTCCAAATGAGTATTTCAGACATTCAGTAGTATAATTATAACCAGAATTTGGCCTTTTACTTGTAATAGAAGTTATCCAGGAGCCATCAAACTGTCTATTCCAATAGTTGTATACTTGTGTTTCATGGACAGCTTGGATAAAGGCATGAGCAAGAAAATAGTCTAGCAGTGCTGATATTTGTCTCACTACCATCCTTCTTGCAGTCAGCAACGTTTTGAAGACAGCAGGAGGGCACTCGTTCTGGGGGCACTACCAAAGCATTGCTTGAGCTGAAAAAAGATTTTCTAAAACAATTTAGCTTCCTAAAAGAGCAGAAAGTTAAGGGAGCAAAAATGAGTGAGTAATGTTAATGGCTAGATTAATTGCTGGGAGACAATGGAGGAGGGAAGAAGGCTTCCCATTATGCCATTAGTCAAGGTGCTAAACAGTTTTACACATATTACAAGCTGCACCCTCAGAGCAGCTCATTAGACCCATCCGCTACAAGTCTGCAGGATTTTCTTTACATTCCATGGCTATATAATTGCAGAACACCTGTTGCTTTAGTCATACATACACATTTCTAACTGTTGGTATATCCTTATGCCTGAATCCTCATCTCATACAAAAACAAGGGAAGGATTCCAAAATTTGCTAGTAGAATAGACCAGCCTGTACATCACAGCAGGATGCACTAAGAAGTGTTTAGTAGTTCACTTGTCTGTATATGCTGATAGCACAGCAAACACAGGCCAGCTATGTCATCTGTGGTTCAGTAGTAAGTCTGGTCTGTAGAAGGTTCATATTGTTCATATGCTTCATATATGTTCAGTCCTTCAACCTGTGTTAAACTCATCTGCTCTGTCTGGTAGAATTCCTGAAGCAGAAGATGCTCTGGGAAATGTGTCCTCTGTTCTTCCTCAGGACAGATAGTATTTAGCACTTAATTTTTTTGCATAACCAAAAGCCATATTGCTCAGTTTCTGTTTTACAGTCATATCCTTGTCTTAGACCCAAATGTACACATGTTCCACACCCCTCACTTTTATTCACTATATATAATTCTCTATTATTGTGTGAAATTATTTTTGCCAAGAATGCCAAATTGTGTCCCTGAGGTTAGAAACAATCAGTTGTGCTAGAGAAATGAATCCTAAACCACTTTGTTTCCCATAGTCTTATTTTGTGTTCTGTATTTTATAAGCAATCAGAAAATGGAACTGGAAAGCTAGAAATATTTTATCTGCTTAACTGTCTTAATTGAATAAACACCAGAGCATTTATAGGTGGTGGCAGCAACAATTATTACTTCTTAAGTACTGACTGTGTCTTTAATGCAGCATATGACAGTACCTGTTCTGAGTAGATGGACAGCTTCACTCTATGATCCTGATACCAGATCCACATGGGTATAACTTCATCCTGGTGAAGGTAGTAGAGATGTGGCAGGGCTGGTCTGATTTCAAGTTGGATGCCTGGAAGATAGGAGGACAAACATCAACCTGCAGCAAGGTGTATCTCTACAGCAAGGCTTTGTCAGATGTTTCCCAAGAGGCCTGTCTGAATCCATAAGCTCCCTCTCATCTCCTGAGTATCTGTGGATGTTTCATACTTTCTTATTATTTGTTTTTGTGCATTAGAGTTTTCTTCCACAGATTGCTCCCTTCAGTGTTTTTAATTAACAAAACTAAATTTTGGCTAATACTGGATTTTTTCAATCCAAGTAAACCAGCTTAGAATAAAAAATAAGCTGAAGTTCTGGCAAACACATTCAGGTCAACCATTCTCTAGATAAATTGTGTCTCAAAGACTGGATCACAGTGCATAATATATTAAAAATTATTGGGAGCATTCCAGGATCCAGAATTATGTGGGTAGTTGTAATTCCTGCAGGATAAAGAATGATAAAGAAATAAAATGCTTTAATCCTCCACGAATTTGTCTAACAGTTAATCTAGCTACTAACTGCATGATATTTCCTTTCTCGAGCAGTCTCAGTTTGTTCTTAATTCTTCTAATTAAGACTATAAAGCAGAGATAGACAGTGGAAATCATCAGCAATTAAATGCATATTTCTTTGTAGTGCTCTGTCTTGTACATGACATGTAAGACCTAAGCAGGACTGCTCAGTGTGATTCCATTCCTCAGAATAATCCACATTCACACAGTAGGTTACAGCAGGTTATGTCACAATAATTACGTTATCACTTTGCAATCCCATAGCACCTTATATCCCATCATCACAAATCAGAAAAACGTGCCATTTAATATTAATGAACTCTAACAGTGTTGAAGCAGAATTCCCTTATGAGGCATACTGGGGCAGTAACAAACTTCTCCCTCTCCCATAAACCTCCTCTCCATCTCTCCCAGGTCCAGCTCCATCCAGCTGTCTTTCAGCTAGTCCCCTGCCTCAGCCAAGGTCCTGGGGCTCAGGCAACGGCTGTGTCTGCATCTGATAGGAAGGCGATGCACATCTGGCTGTTGTCTGTGTCTTGTTTTGGCTAAAGATTTGACACTTGAACCAGAGAATGATCAGCTTTTATGGAAAGTTTGCAGAGAGAACTCAGTGCTTTGCACTGCTGTTACAGAAGTGAAAGCAGTCAGACTTGCAGTAGCATAGCGAGCACTGCTTGTCACTAACCACATCACTGCACAATGAGTGCCTTAAGCTAAATAATTCTAATTAAACAATAGTGTGTGCAAGGGAATTGCATTAATTTAACTAAGTCTTGCTAACTGAACCTTAGGACAAGTTGATTATGTGGGGAGAGCTTTCTAATCTCATGTCCCTGCATGACGCAGCCATCATCATGCCTGGGGCTTTTAAGCAGGACAGGTAAAATGTAAGGAGACATTGCCAGTGTACAACCCAGCTTAGAGATGCTGTGATCCCACAGCATCCCACTTCAGGTGGCAAGGGAAGGTCATCTGAGCTGCTTCACCTCCACTGGCATGAGAAAGGGCCAGAAGTGCTGTGCATCATTGTGAGCTCACCTGATATTAATCACTGTGCCCTAAGGCAACAGCCTTACCAAGATGGCAAAGGTTGCCTTCATTCAGCTTGTCTGCTCTCACAGAGAGCCAACACTACAACTGATTTTCAGTCTTCTGCTTCAATCATTAGAGAATGCTGCTGACCTGTAATTGAAATTCTTCTTCCTCTGTTTTACTCTGAAAAGATTAATTCTGTTTGTAGTAATTGCTCTGTCTGATGGTACTGAAACAGACTTTGCCTCATAATTCGAGGTGTAAGCATCACATGACATTATCATGTCTTTAAAACAGTAATAAATGTGTTTTCTTCTAAGCCAGTGCTGCACGCATCTGCTGCTGGTGCAGAGAGGAAAACAGATCTGGAAAATGTCTCAGTCTGGCATGCATTTAACTATATACACAGTTAGCAATTCTCCTTAGAATAACAGTAGCCTTTTCACATATGCTTAAGAGTTGTCTTGAAGCTTGAGTTGGTTAGAAAACTGAGAAGAAATCAGGAATTATTCTCTTTGCATAAGTTTATGTGAAAACATAGATTTGGGTCACAGTGTGCCACTGTCTTTTGGCTTGAGGTTCACACACTTGGTGCTGTTGAAAATAAAGCAGTTCTGTTAGGACTATTGAGAGTAATTATACAAATATTGATTCCCAAATGCTACATGGGAATATATGATTTTTCAGTTTTTTTGCTGGAAAAAAAATTTATTCCTCTTTGAAGCCTCTAGAGGGTGCGCTCTCCATTTCAAATTAGGATTAAATAACTTTCTACAAGGCAATAACCTAGTTCAAACAGAAGTTATAAATTAACTCCAGGTATTATTGGGTGAAATGTTATGGTCTGAGATAAAGTCAGAAAAAATAACAAGAGTCCACCTTGGAATTAAAAATATTTCAGTTTCACTGCAGATCTGAGTGTATGATCATTATTTTGGGCTATAGTTCAGCTTCAGCACGGGTGAAACTGTTTGCCTCATGTCAGTCTTTTGTTCTGGAGCCTTAGGACAAAACTAAAAGTTAGCAGAGACTATGCAGCTCTAGTCCCAGTTCTTTTAATCAGGAATCAGATAATCTGTTTTGAAATGCAAACTGTTTGTGACCAAACCTCTGCAAAAGCTACACTGCTTAGAAGTTTAGTGATGAAAATGTATCAGGACATACTACTGCTTGTAGGTCTTCTCACAGCAGTGCCTGAAGTCCCAAAGTCGATTACAGCACCCAGGGATCTCAGGAGTCCATCCGTGAACTTTGATTCTCTCTTGAATAGCTCATTATCTAAATAAGCACGACAGAATCCAGAATAAAGACATATTCTTCTCCCCAGTTAGATGGGGAAGGGAGTTATACCATTTATATTGTCAGTTACAACACGGAGATAGTGGAGGAGCCAGAAACTAGAACTAGAGCTCCTGGGTTTCACTCCAGTATTTAGAAACATGAATTCTGACAAACTGTCCCCCTGCTGTGCCTTGCTGAGTCAGTCACATCTGTACAGCAGCCTCCTGCAGCGTTCATCCCTTGTGAAGGGTAAATAACCAATATCTCATAGACCTGAGACCCAGTAAACAGAAATTGCCTTCAGTTCCATAGAATTGATTTTATTTGTTCATTTCTAGGAACATGTTTCCAGCCAACCTTGTTGAAGCCACATTCAAGCAGGTAAGTGGCTATTGTTCTTTTACCACTGAAAAGGTGAGCCAGCATCATAGAAAGATGCACATGATATGTCTTCCTAAAACAGAATCCAGATGTAGATACTGTGTATTACTTCAGATACTACAAGTACCTTGAACATTTAAGAATTAATGAGTTCATTTCCACTAGCCTCAGCAGTCTTGCAGCCTGACTACAACTGGTAGGTCAGAATTATTTTAATAGTCCAGTAAAGATCCAACCTGGAGATCCCATCTGGAGCAAAGTTGTGTTGTGGGTTAGGCCATGGATACATTTTTTTGCCATTTCTTTATCAAGAGAAACCTTCAGGTTTTTACATTTTTGCTATAGCATGGGATTCTAAGCTTTGTTTTGAGATATCATGTAACTTGCTGTTTTACAAACCTCAAACTCTTTTGAGGATCAAGCCTGAGTAGCAAAATGTGCAGCAAGCGCTTCAGATTAGTGCTGTGCTGTGTTGGCCATACAGTAGCCATTTCTCAGATAGAGGATGAGTTAAGAGACCTCGCCTTGCTAATAATACAGCTCTGCTGTTTCCAGACTGCAGCCAGCACAAATCCTGGCTGTGCTGGGGGATCTATATGTGGACCCCATTTTCATTCTATTCTTTGCTCTGCTCTCAGAGGGCACTGTACCACTGCATAAAGGAAGAACAGAATACAGTATCCAACTAAAGCAACAAAATCATGTATTTAGGAAGAATTTAATTGCTAAATTTGGAATTTGGCCAGAAAATCTTATCTAAAAGTTGTAAGTAAGCAAGAGGCACGGCTATATTTGTTTCATCTGTGGGAATATTTAATGGGAACTCCATGAAGCAAAGAGAAGGGCAACTGAGCACCTGGAAAGTAATTCCCAATTATGTCCTGCAGGAAAGGAAATACAAGGGAATGTCTAAAGCAACTGTATCAGATCATGTGTTTGCTGCACAAGGCTCTGATTTTAGGAAATTCTGATTTTTGTTTTTCCAAAAATCCAACATTTTCTACACATAGGGTCAGGAGCTGTTATTGTTTTCATGCTGTTCCCCTCAACAGACAGCCTTAATTAACAGAACTTACAAAGTCTCTTTTTAACCATTAATTTCTGCCGGGATATTATAGTAAAAAACCCCCTTTGTTTTCTTTCAGTATCGCACAAAGAGTATTCCCATCATTAAAGCCAACAAAGCATCATCTGAAAGCACAACTCATCGCATTATAATATATGGAGTTCAAGATGAGAATGGATCCAATGTCCAGAATTTTGCCTTGGACATCACTCCTCCACCTGAAGTGATTTACAAATCAGAACCAGGCACCAGTGATGGCATGAATGTGCTAGGGATTGTCATATTCTCTGCAACAATGGGTAGGTTTCAGACATGTTGTTTTGCAATAATCCAAGTATCCATTTAAGAGAAAAAGATAAAGGTTGGGCTGTTGGGTTTCCTCAACAAGAAAAACTTACTACCAGACAAGGTACAAAGAGAACTAAAGTTCTCCTTAGCAAGCAATAAATTGATTTTTGCCTTGGAGTCTTCCCTGTCATTCGTAACTATTCTTTATCACATTTTATTACATTATTAGTGTAAAATATAACTATCTCTTCCCTATTAAGAGCACAGTTCAGATAATAAGCCTCAGAGATATGATGGGTGAGTTTCAGAGGAATATTGTTTAATCAGCTTTAAATTCTGGATCCTGTCTTTTATTGAAACTTCATTATTTTAATTTTTTCATTGTCCAGTGCTTAAATACCATCTCGTAGCTTATCTCAGTGAACTGGAAGAGCTTCTCTCTAGCTGATTTATTTAGTTTCACTTACTGAAGAAACACTGTTGCCACGTATGATATGTTATCTTTGTGAATTATGAAGAGGGACTTTAACCACTCCCTTAGTATGCCCTACTTAACGATGACAAAGGTTATGTTGTGATGATTGTTACAGGAAAAAGTTGATACAGTTTTCTTTATCTCCTATCTAATTTCTTCTTTGAACTTACCGTGGTCAGCTATGGTTGTTCCATAAAACATCTTTGACAATTTATTACATTACAGTTCATAAAGTGCAAAGGGTCAAAAATCAACTCCAGAATTAGCAGATCTGTCTCTCTTTTTAATTTCTCCAGTATGTGGTTTTCCATATGCAATACTGCTGGAAATTGGCTGTCCATCAGTTTGGTATCTTACAGTTCCCAAAGTACAGTGTCACAGCAACCAATATTCCAGCCAAGAATCATTGGACACGAATGAATTAATTACACGTTCTTATTAGAATCAAGGACTTCTTAGAAAACCACTCATTGTCTTCACAGAGCTGAATGTATTACTGTTACTTGCTCTTGCTGGCCCAGGAATTGAGAGATGGAAGCTGAGAGCTGGCTTCCTCCTGGCTGATGCACAGAATGTACTGCCTCTACTGCCACGTACATGACAGCCCCAGCTGCTGGGTCAGCCCTGGCTGTAGTAGCTACAAACAAACCTGAGACACTGAGACCTCAAACATGTCAGGTGGATGACAGAGCCCTGTAGGGAGCCAAAGAAAGAGGTTGTGCCTTGGCTCCCCAGTGCTCTGTGTCTGTGTCAGGTGAGATTTTCAGATATATTGTCTATTCCTGCCGCACAAAGATCTATATTCAGCCAGCTATGTCCCATTTAGTTTACCTTGAGTTATGACAGGGAGGGAAAGCTCTGGGGGTATGCATGAAGACACAGGAGAATTTAAACACAAATGTCTACGTTTGCAGGTATAATGTTGGGAAGAATGGGAAACAGTGGTGTTCCTTTGGTCAGCTTTTGTCAATGTTTAAATGAATCTGTCATGAAGATAGTGGCAGTTGCTGTTTGGTAAGTAACAGATTTAGTAAGCTTTGTTTTAGAAAGTGTAGAAAAAATGTTGACAGAAAAGGCATAAACCTATTTTAAGGGAAATAAATGAGAGTGAACAACCCTTAGTTTTGTGGGAATGCCCTGTCACTTTAACAGAGGCACCCCATATATCACTCAGCACAGTGTAGCTGGGTGGATTATAATACATCCAGCCCACGTGCAGGAGCACCTCAGGCTAGTGTTCCCATACCTTATAGCACAGCTCCACAGAAATTCTCACCTGGTTTCAGCTTGGTTAAGCTAATGGTCCCTCAGGATCTGTACTGCAGCCAATGTACTTCCTGCTAGCTCAGCAGTCTCTGCAATGAACACCACAGTTCAAAAACTAGGTAGTCTTCTGCCCAGGCAGTCCAAGAGCATGTCTAATGCATATTGATAATTCTCTGCATAAGCATCTACTTAACAGTTTTCAACTGTTCCATCAGTATGAACAGCCCAGCAGAGCCTGGTACTCATTCCCTAGCTGCCAAGTAAATGACCTACCTTAAGCTACAAAGTCAGAGCCTTTTTCTGAACCCAAATATTTTAAGTTCATTCCTGACCAGCAATATTACCCCAGCTAAAGGAACAGTAGGAATAGTGCTTTGAGCCTGCTCCTCAGGTGTGGGACAGGGCCTAAGCACATCTGGTCTGACACAACTGAGTCCAGCTGTGTCACTTATGGGTGGGCGCTTTTACTACACTGAAAGTGGGATACAGGAGTTTTCTCCCTCAAGCTGTTTGGTGGAAGTGAATTATCTCCTGCTAATGACTGTATTTCTTTTTCTCAGGTACTTTCCATTTGGAATCGTGTTTCTAATTGCTGGTAAAATCTTAGAAATGGATGACCCTTCAGCCATTGGGAAGAAACTGGGGTTTTACGCCATCACTGTAGTGTGCGGTCTGGTTGTGCACGGCCTGTTCATTCTGCCAATGATGTACTTCTTTATCACCAAGAAGAATCCTATTGTCTTTATCAGAGGGATTCTTCAAGCCTTGCTTATTGCTCTGGCCACCTCCTCCAGGTATTATCTAGTTTCAGTGTGTGTTTACGTGTTTATATGAGTGGAAGCCATTTGACAGTGGCGTTTGTTACATTATTTTCCCTCACCTGAAAAAATATTGGACAAAAATGATTTTTCTTAAAGGACTAGAAACACTAATAAGGGTGTTTTTCTATAAAAACAAATTGTGTGTTTCTACAAAATTAAAATATATTGAGGGACACAGTTTGTCCAGAATACATTTTTAGAATTGGTAGAGAACCTCCTAGTTCAGTCGTATGGAAACACTTTACACTTTCTACTCTTCTTGATCTTTAGGTTTGGGTACATTAAGAAAAGACTGTGGTTGCAAGCTAATGTCCAGCAGTGTAAAGATATTCACCTGTTCTCGAGGAACAGTATTTTTTACATTCCTTTTAGGGAAAGCGTACAATGGACTTTAACCATAGCTGAACAGTGAAATGGGAAACAGCTCATGAACTGGTTAAGAAAAAGAGCACCAACTTGTGTTTAAAGGGTCCTTGAAAGGCCTGGAATTGACTGTCATGGAGCATAAGACATGAAGGACAAAACAAATCATGTTTCCATATAGCTGATATAACAAAAATACAGCATTGTCACATCTGTGGCTAGAGGCTTGCTACTCTGAAATAATAAGAGCAGCTGTACCTATCAATATATGGTACAAGTGGCTTTTATTAGTAGCAGTACAAGGTACTCAAGGGAAGTGCAAAAGAGAAAACTGAAGTAGTGCCAGACCTGTGCCAGACTTGAGAAAAAAGGCTAAAACATCCATCCCTACTCCACTGGGCTCGTTATTTCCTTATAGTTCCAATGAGGTCCAATAAGGTAATGTGGGGGAGGAAGCACATATGCAGATGGTTGTTTCTCTCGTGAATATACTTATATTAAGGCAAGAGTAAGCAGAGCAGAAGGAATGTATAGGCATTAAAAGAAAGGAGAGGAGGGAGTGATTATTTCAGCACAGTTGTAATGTATTGGCTTTCCAGCATGTGTCACTTTACAGGGTGTTTTCATGTTTAATAGTTTGCTCCAAACTGGCCTATAAAGAGAAGCATACTGAGAAACACGAAGTCAAGAATAAATTATGTGCTGGGTGGTGTTTTAAACTCTAATTGGGCTTATATAATTAAGGCAGGCTGTTTTATTAGAGCTTGAAGTTTGTGATGTTGTCACATCCATCTCCATGTTCAAGTAAGATGTTAGTTTTACATTCAAAGATATTATTGTTGGAAAAGGTTCCTTACTCTCATATTTGACACACTTGACTATCTGCCCTACTCTGCTAGGAATTCTTGGAGTTCTGTTTCTGAAGGTGCTCTGTTGTTGGCAACCCGGGCTTTTTCTTTGTGCTATTTCATTAATTCTCTTTTTCTAGAAAGGAATAAGGAAATAGAGATATTTTTTCTAGGAAAAAATATGTTTTCCTTAAAAACCTAATCTGAATTTTTTTGTTTTTTGAGAACAAAAAGAAGAAACTTTGTTCCTCCTTTATCAGCTATAGAAGAGTTTCTTTTTTTTTTTCCCTAGTTTAGTCAGCTCACTTTTTCATTCCATTATCAAGTATGGTTTAGTTAAAACTGGATTCCTTTTCTTAATTTTCCTTATTTTGCACCATCATTGCAATTTGATTTTATAACCAATTAACTAATCCCTTACTGGTCTTTTAGGTCTTGTGCTCTTTTAAATAGCTGTCTCCTATCAAAGCAGGTCACTGTTTCTTCATTGGACCTCATCTCCACGTTGTGCCTCTTGCTTTGAGTGTCAAGTCCCTTGACATACACAGAGTGCTTTCTTTGCAGTCTATAATATGTTCAGGTCCGGGTTAGTTACGGTATATTTCAAAGCTGGAAAAGTTCCAATGCTAATAGTGATAAAACAAAAAGTCAGATGTGATACAGTAATCAAAATGCACAACTGAATCTACAAAGCTTTGCAGGGTTTTGATTCCTTTGTTCCATGAGTGCCAGAGCTATATCACAACTAGGAGAAAGTCGTAATTGGTTTGGTGATTTATAGATCAGTTATTTTTTGTCTTGATTGTTTGCATGTATAAGGAAAGAACATGCATGCCCTCTAGCAAATATAAGCTGGCCCTTCTAAAAGACTTCCATATCACAGTGATCATCAAAGCTTAACATTTAGGCAGCGTTCAACACTTAGAACCCCCCATATCCATTTAGGAGCTCAGCTCCTCATGGGCAGAGTTTGGCTCCAGGGGAAGTCCCCAGAAAAGCCAGTGTGAAGTACTCAGCAGGCACCAGACAGAGCTTCAAAGTATGGGAAAAGCTCTGGCAGCAGCCAGAAGCTCAGGCTGTCAGCAGCCACCAACAGGACTTGCTACCAGAAGGGATTTACTATCTTTACTGGCAGAAGCTACCACCAAAGTTAAAGTGAGCCCCAAGGAATGACTCTGAAATTCCAGGTTTGAGGCTCAGACACTTTTGATTAATATAATGTTTTCCTCTTCTTACCAGTGTGTGTTCTGTAAATCCATATAGGCCCAACGTGGGTTTTAATGTTTTGCTTCTCAAATAGCATTGTCTTGTCTAAAGATGGCTGAACTTTTCACCTTCGTTACACTGAAAGGAATGGATACTGCACATAACTGAGCTTTTGCCAAAAGAACATGCACAAATGCACAAGTAATTGGGTCTGGACAGGAGAGCTGCTTCTCCCAATAGTCAACACATCTGTATTCAGTTAAATAATACTTGCCACGGGGGCATTATGTAACACTCATCATGTGGGTATTGGATTTTCAGATCATCTAAGAGGAGAACAAAGAGCTGGTTTTAAGTATACTGATGGGTTTCTTGCAGATGTTTCTCTGTCAGCTCATGTCTACATCTAAAGTTAGAAAGAAAACCACAAATCAGTGTTCTGATACTCATTCCAGTTAGTCTGCACCTGTGGAAAGCTTTCTTTCTAGGCTAAAAGTCAAACTGCAGAGGGAAAAACAGTACCATGTGCAAAACCCAAGAATGTAACACAAGGGAACCTGAGAACCACTTAACAGTCATCTCATGGCAATGATTTCATTGGATCTGCACATTATTTCAACCCATTTTCCCCTCAGTGAAAGTTTCTGCATAGCCATGAATTTTGCTGCTTTCTTCCCCCCACATTAACCCTATCTTGTCACCTCTGCATTAAAAAAGCAGTATTTGGCCCACTGACAAGAATTCCTCCTGTTTTTTAGCTTTCCTCATTCCAATGGTATGATGGAGTTTTATTTTTCTAGGTCATCTTTCCATACCATTAATGAATTAAATCAGCATCTTCTCAGTGGTACATCCCATCAAAAGAAGCAATTTTCATCTTCTCTGAAGACAAGCAATAAAACATGCCTCGTTCAAGGGTTTTGCTGCTTATGAAACACTCAGATCTTGGCTATTGCACAGTGTAAATTAAAGGCAGATTTAGCAAAAGGGGGAGATGAGATCAGTTTGTTGATTTTTTGGAGCAAATATCAAAATGCATTTGAATGATAAGATAAACAGAGCAGGCTGAACAGCTGTTCTTGCACAGTGACTAGCTGTCTTTGTGCCTCACACCACTAAGAGCTCGGCCTGATCCAGCATTAGCTTATGTTCAGTCCCTGCAGCTGCAGCATTTTATCCAAAACAAAATTGAGATAAGACTCTAAAAATGTATTTTTAATTGTTAGAGTTAACATGGGGAGAAGATAGCTCTCTGAGCTGAAAGCTTTAGGAAAGTTTCAAAAGACTTAGCAGGTTAAGATCAGTGCTTTAGAGTATTTTTTCCTCCAAATAAATGTTACATGTCAGGCCTTCATAGCTCTGCCCTCTGTTTACTACTGGATAAATTGCTTTCAAGAACACAAACTTCACTTCACTTAACTGGATAGACAAATTAATATATATCTATTAAATGTTTTTATTCTTACTTCAGCCATTGAAATCATGTATGACTGTAACTCAAAAATGACAGTAGAAAGCTTTTTGTTTTTTCTTTGCTACTACTTATGATTAACCAGAGCCAAACCCTTAAATGTGGGAATTCTTTCAGTAGCAACAGTTAGGACAGACACTGCTACCTCTGAGATCTGAATTTGGGTGAGACTGTATGGAATAGCTGTCTGTGCTAGGACACCAGGATTTTCTGTTCTGCATTACTGCTTATTTTATAAATAGTTTATGATAAACTACACATAGAGAAATTCAGCCACTCACAAATGAATGTGTAAAAAAAAAAAAGCAGATGCATGCCCAAGAGAGAAATGACATCTAGTGCGTAGTTTGAGGTGTTATGCTTTGCTCTGTTTGATTTTCAAAGTAAATATTGATTAAGTATTGGGGCTGCCAGTATGAAAAAGTTGAACATAACCCTGTTCCCTGGGGTAAACAGATTTTTTCAATTCCTTGTCCTTTCTGTTTACTTACACATCTAATGAATTTCTTTTGCCTAGATATTCATGGCAGTGACGGCAGCAAATCGTAGAATCACAGAATAGCCTGGGTTGAAAAGGACCACAATGATTAAATCATTCAGCAGTCAGGCATGATAAGGCTAGGGAAAACAGAAAGATTGTATTGAAAGCATCCTGTCATAGACCTTTCTTGGTCCTTCTACATTTCTCTATTGCAGGAAGCTACTTTTCCTTTCCAAACACTAACTGTGCTTTTCCTCAAACAACAGCTTGCACAAATACAAAATGACAACTCCTACTCATGGAAACATTTTGCTAATGCATTCCTGAAACTCTGGAGTTACGATACTAAGGCTTTCAGAACCTCTCGTGACTTCGTATGTCAAATGTAATGACTGAGAAAAAATTTGTCCATCAAATGTGTGTTGTTATTTTTTCCATGAAGAACAGATAATGGCCACTGTAAGACAGCAGAGGTAAATTGCTGATGTGAGGCTCTTAACACAGTGACTTAGCAACTCAGACTGGGCATATTAGTGGGAAGACACCGTTGTTTCACTGCCAAGGGCAAGTAGGTCACAAGAGGGCAGAAAATTTGCCCCCAGATTATTTTTCTCTTTTAAGAAGTAACTTTAAAGTATTTACGTAGCATTTCCTTGCCATGAGATAAGAGCCTTTCTTAGTGTGTACTTTCCTTAGCTTATGGCTACTCTTGCTGCTCAAAATTGGCTTTCTATTTCAGAAGGCCTAGAAGGAAACTTCTTTAAAAAACAATGCACATTAGTTTCCAAAGATTTCAATACTAAGCTGTGGGGGTGTTTCCTCTATCTTGCATTTGAGTGTACAACGCTACTTCTGCAGGATTTCTGTCCCTTTTCTTCTGAAAGAGGGAAAAAGAGAATTACATTTTAATTTTTTGAAGAATTAGCAGATAACTAGCATGTGTATGTGCAACTGCATTCACCCCCCAGTACTCAAGCAAATGAGTTACAGGGCAAGTGAGTCACATGTGCAGACCAAGGAATACAAAGCAGTACTCAGTGCAGAATTTACCCTTTCTGGAGAAGGTTTTCTGCAATTCATTCTGTTCCTCAGAAAGAATAATAATTTTAGTGTATTTCTGTCACTGTGTTGCAGTTCAGCCACGCTGCCTATCACATTCAAGTGCTTGCTGGAGAACAACCACGTAGACAGGAGGATTGCAAGGTTCGTGCTGCCTGTGGGAGCCACCATCAACATGGATGGGACTGCACTCTACGAAGCAGTGGCTGCCATCTTCATTGCACAAGTAAACAACTATGAGCTGGATTTTGGGCAAATTATTACTATAAGGTATAAACCTCAAATTCCACACACCCAGATTTGCTTGTCTAGTTGAGTGTGATGTTCCTATGATTTTTGTGTCTAGAAATGTTCAGGATAAAACTCATGTTCGCAATTTTTCAAGCACTTATTTCTCATAGGACAGTTATTTTTAAGTAACATGGAGATCAGGAGTGTAGACAGGGAAATTGTACTGGTACCATTTAAAAGAAGCACACTGACATCAGCAAATAGCAGGTTTGAGAATATTTATCTAGTTTTTACCTTTAGGCACACCCATCATTTACTGAAATTGGCACATTTTATTATTATTATTGGTGTTGAAAATATTATTTTAAACTTCAGAATAGTTTTCACTTTAGTTGGTATCTTTGCAGAAGAAGAAGGTGTTAAAAAAAAGAAGCTAAAAGCCCTGTATCAGATACAGGGAATAATGGGTGTTAGGAAACTCTGTCAAGACTTGGGAGAGAGGCCAGGGAAGGAAGAAGGATGCTGCTATCAGGGCAGGTTTTCATCAAAACATCACAGCACTCAGATATTTTTTAGATGTCTTCTCTGCTGCTTGTCAGAGCAGAAGCCTTCATGAACAACCATGCGGTCAGTGGTGGAGTGTGCTATAGCTGCATACTGCTGTCCTTGAAAGGTCAGTAATGGATCCAAAAGAAGAGATCCAGCTGAACAATTATTGCCATAATAACTCCAGTGACTTCCAAAGAATGCCTCAGGGACTGAAACCTGTAGGTTTCCAGCAGGGAACAGATGATTAGAAAAACACTCTTCATAGTCAGAGCCTTGTGCAACACGTTTGAGATCGGCTTACTTACCCACCCAGTGACCTCATCACTGCCTTATTTTCTCTGCTGGGCCTTGTCCATCCTCTGCTGGACTTGAAAAGCTTCATGACAAAAAGGAAGAAGTCCTGAAACTAGCCCCAGATGACAGCTGGAGCTTGCTGATGGACTTCTGGCAAGATCTGCTTACAGTTAGCAGAAGAAATACATTGTGCCCATGTGAGCTCTTGCTTTGTGCTTTCTCTCCCCCTCACTAAAAATTATTGAAATGCTCCTGTACTAACAATTAGTCTTTTGTGATTTTGAATTTGGGGATGTTTTTAGAATGTGGTCCCAAAATATGGCTCAGACTATGGGCAGACATTACCTGAACCTTGAAGCAGAGAATGGTGATTTTAAAAATTAGGAAGGAGGAAGGAGGGTGATGGTAAATGGCAAGAAGGTAAGTTCTAACTCTTGCTTAGCAGAACCCTCTTTTATCTTTTTATTTTCACTGCCTAAATTAAGTGCTAGTGTGTAACAACCAAAAAAATGTGGAGATAGTAAAAGGAAAATGCAACTTAAGATTAGAAAAATCCCCCCCAAAAAGGAAAAGAAAAAAAAAAAAAGCTGGATTACAAAAGAAGGGAAAATAGGAATTGACAGTGGATTCAGTACCTAAAGAATATCCGAAGCCCAGTTTTAACTATGGGCAAAACTTTCCCTAAATCCAGATATTCTAGGAGGTGGAGAGTTGAAATTCAAATACTGGATGCCAGGATAATTTTTTTAAAAGTTAGAAAAATAATCAGCCTATTCTGCTCACAGTTTATAAAATCCAGGTTGGCAGTTTATGTCAGTGTGGTTATACAAACCTGGCAGAAAAAGAGAATAAAGATCATATTCCTGTCTGCTGAGCCAATTAGTGGAAGAAACATCTACATTAAGGTCAAAATATAGTGGAGAAGCAGATGAGCTTGCCTGTACAGTGTTGCATAAACATTCTTATTTTTGCTCCCTAGCACAAGACATTATTTCCTGAACTAACCTGGGGGGCAGAAGCAGTTCTAAAGCAGTTCTAAAACAGCAAGCAAGTTTAGAGCACTTTACATTATTCATATTCATTATACTTATCTCTTATACAGCTACTGAGCTTCAGTACCTTCCTTCCTATCTATACTATGCCTATTAAAATGCTGTTAAGATGCTAACTTTTTTAAATTCAGTTTTAAATCTTTCTCTTCCCCCATCACACCCACACACATGTATTTATTTCAGGGAAGGGCTCTAGTTACAAATACCTATGGTACACTGGTACACTGTATGGCTGTGAGCAAGATACTGGATATCTCTCTGTCTCAGTTTCCATACGTGTGAATACTGCTATGCTCATTTTCCAAGAAAGAAGGCTGACAAGACTTAGGTGCTTGCCAAAAGTTCTGAAATTCTGGATCAATGAATGCAGTGCGTTATCACCATATATACTTTATGTCATCCATTTACAATAGTCAAAATTCATTTTTTGTCTCTCTGCTGGATGGCCTGGTTCTTGGAAGTGCCATATAGGAGGGAATGAATATATATACAGTCACTTTTGTTCCTGGAAAAAGGAATGAAATCTACCCCCTAAAGATAGCGTTATGAAGAAAACGTTAGAACCGCCAGGTCCACTCTTGCTCTGGTCTCCCATTCATTTCTGCTTGGCTGGATGAGAAAATGGTGTGAAGGTCAAGTAAAAATACTTTCCTGAAACTGAAGAGGTACAGTCACATTTGTGCTTGTTTCACATTTAGATCCAAGTACACAAAGCCACGTGCTATGCAAGCTTCACCCTTGGCCCAGACTCTTTACCCTTGGCCTTGCTTCTGTGTGATGGACTGACGTAAAAGGCCTTCACTGCTGCCAGCACAGGATTTGCCTGGCACGGGAGCCATGAGTGATGACTCAGAGAAGTCTGCAGAGAGCTCTGCTGCTGAGGCTGAAACCATGGGGAGCAGCACTGTCAGGCTCGTGGTGACATGACCCACCAGAGCTGACATCACTCAGAGGCCACAGCCCGGCAGCCTCTTTTCTCCTCACTTGTGAGGCTAAGGGAGAACACAGAACTTCCTTACCAAAGGAAGGGCTGCAAAGCTAAAGGGGGAGAATTTAGCACTGGGCAGTGCTAAATAGGTTTGTCTTGTCCTTGCTCTTTGAGCTGGCTTCTGTACACCAAACACCAGCATGTGACTTGCATAATAATGACTGGATTATGAAAGCTCCTGTAGAAACATGGTTTTGCTTCTTGCAGAGCAATCCATCGCTGGTAAAGCTTACTCCTTTTTCTCTTTGTTAAAGCATCACAGCGACAGCTGCCAGCATAGGAGCTGCTGGTATCCCCCAGGCTGGCCTGGTGACAATGGTCATTGTCCTGACCTCGGTCGGACTCCCAACGGATGACATCACACTGATCATTGCTGTTGACTGGGCGCTGTAAGTAACATTAAGCATCTGAGGCTTCCTGTGTGGCAACACTGCTAAAAAGCCAAATGTTCTCCAAAGGTATTAATATGAGTATACCTAAAAGGCATGGGAAGTACATATTTTGGACAAGGATGAGGAGCCAACACTCCTAGGAAGTGTGTTTTGGCAGGGCTGGTTTCAGTGCAGAAGTTACTTTGCTGGATCCCTAATCACTGGGGATTTTGCAGCAGAAACGGAAGCTGAAACTTGATGTATTCAGACTAGAAGGGATTCCTGTTACCCATGAGAAGAAGCAACTTAAAAATTCATAATAGATGATTTATTTGGACTCTCACCTTGTTATGTCAATGTCCATAAACAAAAAAACATATTTTGAATAGTCTAGGAAGATGATTGATTGGCAAAATACTGGTCCCTAGCTAGTTGGCATTTCAAATAATTACATCACTAGCAAATGTATTTACAAAGAAACAATCCTTTTCTAAAAAAAATTCATTTGTGTGAAATATATCTCCATTACCAATCTTAATGCAGTGAAGTTGAAGTATGTCAGAGTTCTGTGTAAAAATGTATCTCAAGTCCATTCTGCTATGGTGCCCATTTTGTTCAACTTCAAGTCACTGAATTCTTCTACAAAGAACTGTGAGAAGGAATTGCTTACTTTCCTGTCCATCATAATTGAATACTACTATTGCTAATAGGAATCATGAGAATTGTGTTGTTTGCATATTCTATGACAGGCTTTATTTTACAAATATCAGGAATATTCTCATGTGAAGGAAAAACAGCATCTGCTGGGAGCACCTAAATGTGGGAATGGCTGTTCAGGTGTTATAAAGCAGCCTTTCTACCACTAGTCATTGAAGCTCCATAGTTTAGAAGCAGACAACAGAACTCACAAAGTATTTTAAGCTGTATCACAAAACCCTTTTCCCTTTATATTGCTTAGTTTTTCACCCAGCTTTTGCAACATCAGCACTTCATTGTTTTTCCTGTAAGTCTTCCAGTGTATATAGGAATTCTGCTTTTTGTTTTACAAAGCATCTCAAAACAACAAAAAACTCACTCAGGCTACAGTTCCAGAGGCTATTAAAAAGTGAACAAGGAACAGACTCAATTTTCTGTCTTTTGTGGATGAACTTTCATATGCAAAGTATATTTCAGTATTTCAGCACTTGGTTTCAAGAGTCTGCAGGTGCAAAATGTCAACAGGGTTGACGCGATGAATATTGTCAGTATTAGCTTTGGAAGCACTAGAGTATGAAGAATGCTTGAAGAAGGCTGATTAGGTGATCTCACAAGACTGAAATACCCATCACAGTGCATTGAAGGTATTACAATTCATTTAGGTAGATATAACATGTGTGTGAACTACATACCTTTTGCTGGTGCCTGGAGACAAAGTAAGAAAATTAAAATGTTTCTCAGCTTATTTATTGAATGCAAGATGAAAGTTCTGCATCTTTAATTATAATATCCTCTAAAGCTCAGATATCACTGCAACACTTGTTGCAAGTCTTTGCACTGAAAGAAATGCTGTGAGCAGCAGGTTGGCCTCTTAGCAGAGAAATTTCAGTGGTGTGTGATGCGATTTTACTTACGTGTGGTGCAGACATCTGTGTGCAGACAGGAACATGGAGCAGGATTGGTCCAACAATGTGCCAGGCAATCAATTTTCTTAAGAGTTTCAGTATGGTGCTCTGTTTCCTCAAAAAAATTCTGTCTTCACAGCAGATCCTAATCAGAGACCAGTAGAGAGTATAAAATTTGGAGCTCTGCTCATACAACTTCTTCTCCATCACAGCTCTTTGCACAGTGCAAAATTAACATTTCAGAACAGCCTTCCACGAATCCAAATCTGATGGTCAACCAAGAGGAAGCCTACATGTAACAGGAACATCTCCCACTTCGTGCTGTAACAGTTTTCCCTGCTTAACTAAACATGGCTGTGGGAACTTTCCTCAAGGCAAAACCCAAACTCAGAACAACAGGTAGCAGAAAAATGGAGTCAGCAAACAACTTCAGCACTGGATCCTAAATTCAACAAACACATCTAGGTGTAGGTGCTGAAATCTGATGAAATTACCTGCAATTGCATGTATGATTTGGATAACAGCACAGGCAAATAACATTTCATGCAAGAACTCTTTCTTCTAGTTAGGCAAGCAACTGCACAAACATTTGCATGCATAGATTACATGCCTAAAATATATGGAGAAAAAAACATCAGCACACAGTTTCCATTTTTTTGTATATTAAGTTACAGGATCAGAAATCTGGGCATTGTTGATGTTGGACTGTCACTACCTTTAATAAGCCAAACATCTGGAGATTTCTGAGCCTCCATTTTATAACCCACGTTTATAAATTAAGTTACCAATTTGACACAGCTTTCAGATGTGAATGTTTTTCTTGGAAAACTGTGATATATTTCAGCCTTAAAAACTATATCATCTATTTGAAATCTCACCAGTTTTAACTAATAGATTCCAAGCAGTTTCAAACGAAGCACTTGTCTATGGCAACCATTTACTCTTGTGTATTTACAGTCAATATTTTTGAGATGTTGGTGGGTGAAAGATGTAAAACAGGGAAGAACTGATTCCATAAACAAATGGAAAACAGTGAAACTGTATGTATACACAATACTGTCAAACATAAAAAATGGAAAATTGAAATTGGAAAAAAAGGTAACTGAAAATGAAGAATCCTTAGGAGCCAGAGGTGCCATGGCAACTGTGGCTTTTTTTCAGAAATGAACAGGATTTAAGTTAGTAAGTGGTCACTCCCTGCATAGATTGTGCGTTTAGTTATTTAGCAATCTTCTGAGTAGCTTTTAATTGTGTTCTGTAATTCCTATTTATACAATTATCTTCTTGCTGAGAAGATTGCTTAAGAATGCAGGACTGGGATCTTGATACCTAGTACAAGGTACTGTTTGGACTGGCTGCCCTTTACTTGTACTGAATGAAGACATTTGCATCAGCAGCCTCCAAATGAGGCCATATCACTGGAGCTCAACATAAAAAAGCAGAAGTCTTGATCTGCTGTGCTAAGACTTTCCAGTGCTGAATCAGTTGCATGCAAAGGGAAGCAATAGCACATAGGTGTCCAACCTTTTGGCTTGCCTGGGCAGCACTGACTGAAGAGGAGTTGCCTTTGGCAGCATATATGTGGGTTCTCCCAAAAGTAATGCCTGCTATTGATTTCCATGAAAACTATGACAGATACAAAGAGTATAATAACACTACTTGATAGAGTAAATTCTCAGCTACAAAACACTACTTTTCAACATAGTCATTACCATTAGCTTTACATTTTCACCACCGATGAACATGAGGCTGCATGCTGTGCCTGTAAAAATCCGCACCAGTAAATGTGACCCATTGTCACCACTGCTGAACCACACCACTCACTGCCTCACCGTGCTCACAGCCACGGTTTGGTCTCCATCAACACTGAGCAATTGTCAGTGAATGTCAGTGAGTGCCATATTTTCCCCATGGAGGAATTCAGTTCCACCCTTAGCTTCATACACGCTCCCATGTCAGATGCTATTTTGTCAGACTGCCCTTCTGCTGCCATCTCTTTTTTTTTATAACACAAAAAAAGAGAGCAACACAACCATAAAACTAGTGGGATATGTGACCTTGTTTTTGTGGAACCGCTGCATCAGACTGTGGCTGCAGTTCTCAGTGAGTTCTCAAGGTGCTGGTCAGAGAGCATGTGGAGGCATAGTGCACAAAGCTCAGAAAAGATTGGAAAACCCAATGGAGCAGCTAAATAGCTTAGCTTCTGAACTTGCTGTCTTGTAAAAACAGCCAAACTGACTTTTGGCTATAAATACTGCAGTGATGAAGGCATGGGCATGTGCCCAAAGAGCCAACGACTTACCCTAACTTTGTCATTTACCAGAGACCGGTTTAGAACAATGATCAACGTCCTGGGAGATGCCCTGGCTGCAGGGATTATGGCCCACATCTGCCGGAAGGAGTTCATCAAGGACGGTGATGAGGTAAGAGCCAGGGTGTGACAGTGTGTGCTGGGCTGCGTGCGGCAAAGAGCCTGCCAGCTCTCAGCTTCCCACATTTGTTTGCAAACAAAATGCAAAGGTGTTTCAGACAGAGGGCAGAATTGGGCAATAGGCTGCTTAGACAGATAGAGTGGAGGAGTTTTTCTTCATGGGTTCATGCAAAAAGCCACTCAAGTTCAACTCTTGGCAGGCTGTATCTGGAGCACTGGGGCTCAGAGCAGGAAGGAGCAGCTGTGCTGTCCTGCACACACATGCGATGCTGGAGCTGAGCTCTGTGCTCAGTATCTCAAGCCCTGACAGGGTGTGCTGCTTCTGAAGGTGGGACCAGCAACAGAAAGGGGTGACAAACCCTTGGGTATGTGCATAGGGCTATATATGCACAAACATTAAGCTCACAACAAAAGCAGCCACCACATCTACCTTCCTGAGCCTGTCCACCACATCTGTCCCTGCCTCCCTCCACTCCCATGCTTTTTTTCCCTTCTTTCTTGGCACGCATCACTCAGTCTTTTCTTATGCCTGGAATGCCTTCTCATAATCTTCCTTGCAGTTCTCAGCAAAGGAGATTTCTAAATCCCTGAGCCCACCGTGCTGGGAGGTGCCAATCCCCAACCATTCCAGCTCATGGCAGACCTTTGCAAGCTTTCTTTTGCAGGGCCAGGACAGGTTATATAGGAAAGGTTCTTTGCAGTGACTGCTATTCACAAGGCATGTTTCACCTGTGTGTGTCATCTGGGGTATTCTACTCACCTACAGAACTTAAAAACGGCAGTACTAATAGCAAAGTTTTATTGACAGCATTATTTCTGCTATTGTCCAGACAGTCTTTCTGATAAATCCCACTCTCAGGCCTTCCTGGAACATGCGTTTAAAATTCCAGCTCTTTCAAGTTTTGTAAAGGTCTTGTCCTCAGAGGTGCTTAGCACCTGCAGTAATTGCTGATGACAGGATTAGGCCTGAATACTTGGGCTACACGTGCAGCTCATTACAAAAAAGTGAACACACAACAACTTAATGGTAAGGTGTGTCATGAGGCACAGAGCCAGGAGTGCATAATGCAGGCCTGACATTTCACTGCTGTATTTAGAACTCTGTTGGAACTCAAGAAGAGATGTTTCAAGAATATAAAATCCCTCCTAGGGGATTATTTAGTCATCTGTGATGAGATTTTTCTTTGCATCTCACTCCGTAATTGTATTAAAATATACTGTTAGTCTGCCATAAGTTTTGGCAGAGTAATTTGTGGACTTAGTAAAGTATACCCAAAGGCCAAATTTTGTCAGCTGCAAGCCCACGTCTTTTCCAGTATTTATGTCTTGTTTTCCCCATCAGAACTTCTGGTTTGATTTAAAGGACTCTTAAATATTTAACATCTGAATCACTCAATGCAATTCTCGTGATGTTTTTTGAAATAGGACAAACTGAAACGACAGGTATTGGTGCACTGGGTCAGAAGAAAGGCAGAAAGCCACGTCAAATGATTTCCTGTTTTCTATAATTGCACTCATGAGCAACCACTGCTCAAAGCTCAGCTTACTGAGCCCATATCTCTCAAACCTGAAATTTTAGTCTTCATTTACACTATTTATATTGCTCATCGATGCAAAAAGGTGTTACTGTGGGTATAAGCTAAATTAGGGCTGTAGTAGAATTTGTATTTTTCCATACTTAGAGACTCCTTAACTTTATCCAGATGGTGGAAAGACACTTTAGTGTATATAGGAAACAGGTCCTGAAAGTCTGGAGGCCCCAGGTAATGCTGGTGAATGCAAAACAGACTAGAAGCTTCCAAAGTAAAAATTCCCTTCCTTTTGCATACAGCAAAGAGTGGCTGTATTCCAAATCTTACTGCTTTTCACATAGGTGCCATTGATCTGTGAGACTAAACCTCTTAACATCCACCCGATTGTGGCTTACCAGAGAAACGGCTGTGTGAAGACCATGAATGAACCTCGTGGACCAGAAACAGTGAAAGAGTTGGAGCAGCACATACCTGTACAAGTGGAGCAAGAAGAAAGCCCAGTGGAGAACCACACTAAGAAATCCAACAGTAAAGACCACTGCACTATTGAAATAAATGAACTAGAAACAAATGTGTAACTGCTACACACAGTGGTATCTCATACCCCAGTGACCTGATACCCAATCTCTACCTCACAGCTGGGAGAGGGACTCTGCCTTGAACAGAAAAATGTGGAATTCTCGCCACTCTGCTTGTACTGGAGCGAGGGGACCAGCTGTGAACGTCAGGAAAGGCACACAGCTTGCAAGAGACATGGGCTTCCTTAGGTGGAAGATTTCAATACTGAAAAACTAACCAACGGATGGCTGCTGTTTTATTCTGCACTCATTTGACTCCAATATAGTATTTGACACTCCTTTGGCTTCGGTTTTTTTATTTTTTTTTTATTTGTCCCTTTCTGGTTTTCTAACCAAAGCCTTTTTTTGTGAATCTAAGTAATTGCAAACACTGTATTTATATCTTTTTTTGCTCTGTAAAAACGTTTCACCAAAACTGCTAAAGATACTAATGTTGTCTAGGATTCTTTATCTACAGACTTTGTGTTTAGTTTTAGAACAGCAGTAAGAAAATCACACTGATTTCCTGATCTCAAAATGTTGTACTTATCACCAAACAACACCTCAAGCCAAGGTGAAGCAAAGTGTGCATTTTTGCAAGCAAGCACAGCAAGGTAATGCTGAGGGGCAGCTTTCAGAGACAGGCATTCAAGTGTGATACATAACACCATGATCCTAAGTCACTGAAGAGCACAGTTTGCCTTCCAAGTGCCAGATTTATGAACCTTTTTTTAACCTAACTCTTCAGTAGAGTCAGTACCATGCACACACAGCGGCAGAGGCAGTGTGAGCCCAAATCCATAAGCACTGGTGCTAATGCGTCCTCCCCTGCAGCTCATAGGCCCTTCTGTGTAAATATGTACCAATCTGAAGCTCAAGCTCTTGAACTGTACACTTCACCCTAAGGGCAGACTGAACTCAAACTAGGACACGATGCTGGCTAATATTGGGGTTTTGTGGGGAGTCTCCCGGGGGAACTGGACTGCTACTTTTCATGATTCAGTTGTCAAACTACATTGAAAGTTATATCCCTTGCATAATTTACTGAATCAATTGCAATAAAATCTGCTGAGTACGTTTCCAATGTTTGTGATAGAGCACATTTTTAATAAACTTGCCGTTTCAAAACCAGGTGTCCGTGCACTTCTACCATTGGTGCCTTCTTTCTCTGCCAGAAAGAACAGGGGAAGTGAGGAGACCTTTTCAAAATTGGAGGTTGATCCAGAGGTTACATACCAGTTCCTACCAAGACACTTGACATATTATATGTAGCTACTCAGGACAGATCAGTTTCAAATAATACGTGCTTGCTATTCTAATACTCTTCTCCCACCTACAGCAAAAAAGAACCCAGTCAAAAAGGACAATGCCTACACTTAGCAGAAGCAGGAATGATTCATGCACATGATTAGTGGTTTTCCTGGTATGTGCATGTACACCTCTTCTTTGAGGGGTCCTTGTTCAGAAAATTCTTTTCCTACACGCTAATTAGTTACCCCAGATGGCTATAGAGTAGAGGTAGCTTAAATTACAAATGGGGAAGCCAGAACCAACAAATACATTTTATTTGCCCACAATTCCAGAGGTCCAAGTCCCCGTTGCTTCCACAAGGTCTGGCCTTGAGACTTGCTTCTTTTTTGTCCATTTCAAAACAGTGTATGCCACAATTCAGCAGTTTCCCACCACACAGGGGGAAATTCGTAGATTTTAAATGCAGCAATACAATTAATACAGTTGTTTTTGTTGTATGGACACTTGCAAGAAGCCTCTTACTGCTGATCAGCCACTGCTGATGTGCCCTCTGCCCAATTTGTATGCTGCACAAACACCCATCCCACACATCCCAGTGCAGTCACTCCTTCTGGTTGCTTGTTAAATAATCCCTTTTTGATTGTTCAGAGCTTTTCAGACAGTTGTCAGGTACTCAAGGCAATTAATCTGCAATCAAGAGATGTCCATCTTTAACAGAACTATTTTCCTGATTGATCCTAGAGTGTAGAACAATGAACACAGAACGCATGGAATAAAAAAACTCTCACATTATTCAGAACAATTTGCTCTGAACAAGTCCTGTAATGCGCCTGCTCTGCAGTGCCATTAAAATGTGTGATTTCAGGGGGCTGAAGCTCTCTGAGTGGGCAGCAGCACCAGCCAGCAGGCAGCATCTTGCTTTGACCTCAGCCCACCTGGTTCCCCAGGCCTCCCCTCCTCCCCAGCTCTACAGACCCAACTAGTTAGAAGGCCAGATGAATAAGCAGATGAAGAGCAGTTTTAATTCAAACCAGTTCACATATGTTTTTAGTGCAGTCCTAACAAACAGTTGTGTCAACACAAGTGGAGGGGTGACACAGGGACAGGAACAAACAGACAGGGATGAAGCAGTGTAAGCTCACATGGAGAGGGCAGGATCTCTGCACACTGGCTCTGCCAGCAGTCACTTTACAATCACTTGGAATACAGAGAAATGATGAAGCAAAGCCATGTAGATCCACTACCTAGTTCCAAACTAGAAGATTTTGGATGGGTCTGCCCACACCCCATGCCAAAGCACCTTGGTTTGCCAAGCAGAAAGTGCTGCCAGCCTTACCACCACCTTCCTCTCCATCCACATATAACTTTTGGCTGACTGCAAAGTGCAAATCCCTTTGCCTGCTTGCCTGAGCCAGCTAACCCAGCGTGCCACCCCTTAGCTTAGGAACATCTCCAGATATCCAAGCCAACTCCAGTGCAAAGAAGCTGTGTGACTTCTACAAAGTGAACTTCAGATGAATAAATCAGCAACAGAAGCAGCTGGTTGTGGTGCACAAGCCCTGCACAATACTGAAATCCACAGCTGTACCCTGTGTACCTACTCTATTTGCCACGAAGGGAATGGGAAGTCTCACGTGCGAAGGGCACAGTTTTATGGAATCAACAGGACATTTCAAAATCAGCCTTCTGCATACAAACTCTATTCACAGACTGTCCAGTTCTGCTTTGCCACTTTGAAAAGAATCGTTACTTCATATTGTTTTATAGATATCTGTCTTAAACTTGGGTTTTATACCAATACTTGCCTCCATTCATCCTAAAAATTATGCCAATTTAGCAGACTGCAGCACTTTAGTTCTTCATTCTGGTAAATATGTATATGTAGCTCAGCATAGCATGAGCTTGTCTGCAGCATCTGACTGCTACTGCAGTCATTCTGTGTTAAGAACATAAGACATTACTGTTAGCTGTACAGAATCAAAGACAGAGGTTATAGTCTTTTTTACTATGAGCTTTCCTCCATGTTTGCTATTTTTTGTGTCTCATGGTGTTTGTTGTCAAGCAGCTTGACACACAGTGCAATTAGGCTAGCAGCAGGTTCCACAGCATATTTGCATGTACAGATCTGTTCATATTTTCCAGCTATCACTGCACTTCAGTCTGATAAAAATAATGGAGCTGTTCACCATTGAGTTGGAGTGCAGGCTTTGTGTTGCTAAATATCTTCCTCCCACTGTCAGAGCATATAAGCAAGCACATGACCCTCACAAACTCAAAACATCTATGTAAAAATCAATCAATCACTAATTGCAACAGTTTGCATGGAATACATTCAAGTACACGTGGGAGGAACATATTTCTGAACTGGCAACATTCAATAGCATTTTGAAGTTACCTCCCCCTGCTGAGAGGAAAGGGAACTTAGCTGTTAAAAGTAGACTCATGACATCCTAGGGGAATGTGCTGGAAGGAGAGGAGAAAATGAAGAAGGATGATGTATTCCGTAGCGGAAGAAATAATTGGGGAAATACCCAAATTAACACATACTTATCAGAGGCACTAGTTTTATGTTGGTTCATCTGCAGCTGCATTATTCTGGAGATACTACTGAGAAGACATTGCTGATAAAACATCATCAAAGACATCTGACAGCAGGTTTCTGAGGATTTTGCCAACATCCAGGAAGCTCTGAAGTGCCAGATTTCTGTAATGAATCCTTGTGCAAAAATTAGAACTGAGAGAAGAAGCCCCAGCTGGGGCACTCACACATCCCACTGGCTCCTGGAGCTTCTGGTTGCCAACCCAAATAAAGTTGTTCATGGAACTGATGTCTTACTTGCAGCTAAGCTTATTTATAGCACCTGAATTGGCCCTATATACAAATCCCAATATACAAATAAAATAATTTAATAACTAGTTGAAGCAAATTGTGTAGTCTCTCTCCATGTTACACACGCAGTTCTAAAGCGCTTAGAAAACACAGTAGCTCTGTAGCATCCCTATTTGATGAGCTCTCTCTTTCAAAGCTACAACAAATATCAACATCAATATTAGTCCCTCTTTAACAACGGCAGAGCAGATCTGACATATTTTCTGGGCAGTCGGAAAGTCAGGTCTTCAAGCCGGATGCACAGCCTTGAAAATGACCTCAGCCTTTCTTGTGCTTTCCACAAAAAAAAATGAAGTAACTACTAACAGAAGGTGGTTGCTGTGTGCAAGCAAAATGTATAACCTGGGAACTGAACTGGGTCTGGAAAACTCAGGCAGCCTTTGATCATGCACAATGCTGAGTACTCCCGTGGCTGTCTCTAGTGAAAGCCCAGGTGCATTTTTACATCAATACAGCTCCCTTTCATTACAGTGGCAGTGGCCATGAGGAATTGCTGGTTTTCCCCTCCAGGTGCTGAGCTGGCTGAGATTGTAGCCTTCAAGCTGAGGAGAAAATCAAGGTAGGTTTTTCCAAGGTGATTCTACTGCACATCTTTTTGCAATGATAATTTTTGCAATAATAATAACAGCTGAAAAATGCCTGATTTTGCAGCACTCTTAAAGGAATCCACAGAAGAGATTACCTGAATGCATCCATTCTCTAAGGGCTGGGTTGCAAATGAAGTGGATGTATTAAATTTCTCACTTTAGCCTACGATGGCTAAAGATGCTCAAATTCCATCCCCTACTAAGTGCTCTGGAGCATGCTGAATGATCCTTCAGGAATTTATAAGACAGTTTGTTCCACATAACCCCAAATGGGAAAGAGTAATAGAACAAGA